TAAGCAGTCTAATTTGCACCTGCTTCTGGTGATGAGGAGGGCTAGAAATGTGGATATGGACTGAGGCAAAACCTTTCCTTGAGTGTTTGGCCTCTCTTTGAAATGCATTTATCAAGGGATAGAAATTCCTTTGCAGATTATCCTGTTTTCCTAAATATCGGCTTCAATACTTGCTGGTGCTATTAGCAGCTTTAATTTCACACACATCCCCGGGCCCCCCCCATGCATGTTGGTTAGGGCAAGCAGACTCAGAAATTTCAGGTAACAATGTTTTGGTCCCACACAGAAGTCTTGACACAATAACATACGGGATATTGGATGCCGCATTTAATTTGTTGCCTGAAAAACCCGCAAACATAATTCTACTTTTAGGAATGTACAAGGAGATATTTCTTAATTTTTCTGCTGCTCCTTTTTTTCTAGAAAAAATATTTTTAAAAAAATTTCTACTCTTCTCTACATAGTAATTTTAAAAAATCAATAATATTTGGGTGAAATGTAGAACACTTTACTCTGGTAAAGAGAAATGGATTTTACAGTCATGGGGGAAACAGAACATCCGCTTTATCATCTGTTATCACTGGCACAGTACAAATGATGCTCTGATCCTTGTTCCTAGGCCTGACTTAGCAAAACACGCTGAAGAATAAATCAGATGTCTCTGCTCTCCCTGTGCCTGCCACTTCCTAGTACTGAGTTCAGCTCTGGCACTGTGTGTCTCAGAGCCCACCTACAGCTTTAGGGAGTGCTTTGAGCAGCTGCTCATCATAGCTTGTAGGATGAAACTGGCACAAAGCCTATCTCAGACTGGGAAACCAGAAGAAGCTGGATTAGATTAAAAAGTTGTCTGCATTTAGAAGAGATTTATCGAGATTAAAAGCTGGAGGGGGGGAAAGGGGGGGGGGGGGGGGGGAATACTGCAACAGTAAGACAAAAGCAAGCCAACAAATCGGAAAGCAAAACAGCTGTTGCTGCCAGAAATGGGGGCTGAAAGCTCAAAGAGTTTGTTCTAATACTAAAATGAAATTTCAATAAAGCAGATCACTACACTGAAGCAAAATATTCCTTAAAGATGGCAAGGCCACAGCAGACTTTCTTAAAGCCATTGAAAAGGGATGAAGGATTCTATCTCTACATGATTAACCATGACTTTATACTTTCTGCTGTTTTCCTACACAAACACTAGCTGCTGTCTCTGCCAAGCATTCACATAATTACCACATTGTATTTTTATTCACAATAAGCTCTTGGGAAAAGGGGGTGGGGGGGGGTGGGGAAGTCTTTCCATGAGATTGGTTTTGGTTTAGGTGGTTGGTTCTTTTTCTTGTTGGTTTTTCTGGGTTTGGGTGGGGTTTTCTGGTGTGTGGTTTTTGTAGGGTTTTTTTTTTTTTAAAAAAAATCTTCAAATTTCTTTGCCATTCAAAGGTCAGAGATACTGAGATACTGGCATATACTAATGCCAGGTTTTGCAAGAAGGGCATTTGCTTGCCAGAAAGGTCTCTTGTTTACTCTAGTGAGCTGTCGTAACTCTAGACCATTCCTTGTCTGACTGAGTATTGACTTTCCCATTGTAGTTTGAAAGGCATTTTGGACCAGAGAAGGTAGTTTGCCTTTGGCAGACAATGCTGCATGAAGGGTCAGGTCCAAAATGACATGAAATCCACTGCTTGGCCACGTGAATGTTTTTGCACAACCTTATATATGTTAAATACCTGTAGGGTCTCTACAAATGAGGAAGATTCAGGTATTGAACAGCCTTTAGAAGGGTGAATGCTGTTAGGACTAAAGTTAAGGTGAAGCTTAGGCATGAGAGCCACAGACCACAGCCACTGACTGAAAAGACAGTGACTTCCAAACCTCTTTGGCAGTTTCAGGCTGTTTTTTCAGGAGCTTTAAGCCCCTACAACTCTGAGAATCTGGCAGAAGCACAGGCATTGCCTCTGAAGGGTCAGCCTGAAAATGTCATGGTGCTCATCAGCACCTGTCCTGCAAGCTGAAAGGGTACAGCAATACCACACTGCCTGAGCAGGTCTAACGGACCATGCGAGTGTGACTCCAGTCTTTGCAAGCAATACAGGGGCATGCCTTTCAAACTGCCTTTCAAACTGCCTTTCAAACTTTGAGGTAGGCACTGGCTATTGTGGTCACAGAATCATTGAATGTAGTGAGTTGGAAGGGACCCACAAGGATCATCACATCCAACTCTTGCCCTAGCATAGGACAGTCCCAAAATTCAGACCATGTCTCTGAGGGCCTTGTCCAAATGCTTCTGGAATATTGTCAGGCTTGGTGCCATGACCACCTCCCTGGGGAGCCTGTTCCAGTGCTCCACCACCCTCTGCCTGAAGGACCTTTTCCTAATGTCCAACCTAAACGTCCCCTGGCACATCTTCCTGCCATTTCCCCTGCTCCTATCATTGGTCACCAGAGAGAAGA